TCTTGAAGAGGAGTAACAAGTAGAGTGCCTTACGGATCTCTCCTGGGACCCATTTTGTTCAACATCTTTATCAATGATTTAGGTGAAGGAATAGAGGGAATGCTTATTAAATTTGAAGGTGATACTAAATTGGGAAGGGGTGGCAAATAAGGTAGAAGATGGAGTCAGGATACAGGATGATCTTGACAGGCTGGAAAACTGGACTAAAACAAATAAAAATGAATTTCCAGGGATAAATGTAAAGTTCTGCATTTAGGTAGGGAAAATCAAATGTATATAGGATGGGGCAGATTTGTACTGGCAGTAATATGTGCAAAAAGGATCTAGGGGTCTTAGTAGAGCATTGTTAGCTGCCCTGAGCCTTCGGGGAGGGCGGGATATAAATCCAAAAATAAATAAATAAATAAATAAACACTGAACATGAGTCAGCCGTGTGACGTGGTAGCTAAAAAGGCAAATGCTATTTTGGGTTGTATCAACAGAAGTATAGTGTTCAGATCACGCAAAGTGATGATGTTGCTTTGCTCTGCTCTGGTTAGACCTCACCTAGAGTATTGTATTCAGTTTTGGGCACCACAATGTAGGAAGAATATAGACAAGCTCGAACATGTCCCAAGGAGGACAACGAAGATGGTGAGGGGTCTGGAGACCAAGTCCTATGAGGAAAGCTTGAAGGAGCTGGGTATGTGTAGCCTGGAGAGGAGACAACTGAGAGGTGATATGGTAACCATCTGCTCCCTCTAAGCTGTGGAGTCTCGTGAGCAAAAATTCCACTTTGTGAGCTCCTGGCATGGAAGTTGTGAGCAAGCAATTTGGCTACTGCATAAATCAGTTTGCTCTGGAGCCATCCTACCTGAGCTAAGATAAAAACGTGTGAGCCGGAGGCTAAAAAACTGTGAGCTAGATCACACTAACTCAGCTTAGAGGGAACACTGTCTTCAAGTACTTGAAGGGCTGTCATATACAGGATGGTACAGAGTTGTTTTCTGTTGCCCCAGAAGGTTGGACTAGAACCAACGAGTTGAAATCAAATCAGAAGAGTTTTTGGCTAAACGTTAGGAGGAACTTCCTGACAGAGCGGCTCATCCGTGGAACAGGTTTCCTCGGGAGCTCTCCTACTTGGGAGGTTTTCAAGCAGAGCCTAGATGGCCATCTGACAGCAATGCTGATTCTGTGAACTGAGGCAGATCACGAGAGGGAGGGCAGGAAGGGTTGCCTCAGTGCTCAGTACTCGTGGCCGTCTCTTACATGCCCAGGGAAATGCTGATCACCACTTTGGGGGCCAGGAAGCCATTTTTCTCCAGGCCAGTTTGGTCGGGGATCCAGGAGGGGTTTTTTTTGCCATCTTCTGGGCATGGAACAGGGGTCACTGTGTGTGTGTGTGTGGGGGGGGGTAGGTAATTGTGAATTCCCTGCATTGTGAATTCCCTGCATAGATGACCCTGGAGGTACCTTCCAACTCTATGATTCTAAGCCTGTCATTCTCTCCAGCCTGCTATTCCCGCTGCTCTTTCTTTGGAATGAAAACGAGCTACCAAGACTCCGTTTTGTCTCTCTGCTATGTTCTCGGTGGCAAACAGAACAGAAAATGGAGCAAGTCACTATTTGTTCTTCTCCCCCTTGGCACTCCATGCGAAGAGGCCCCCGCGGTCGCTTTGGGGGAGGAAGAAAGAGAGAAAGGCCTATCAAGAGGACCATTAAATCTCTCCGAGGTAATAACGCTCTTGCTGACGGGGAGTAACTTCAGAGAGGCCTCTTTGCTCCCTCTCTTAATTAATAAAATTACAGCTCAGAGCCTCATTATTGATAATTCTGGCCACTGTCTGAGCTTCCCGTCTCTGTGCTCACTCCCACCCCCACCGACCTTAATTCTCTCCCAAATGCAGCACGAATTAACGTTTAATTAGCCATTAAATAGAATTAACAGTCTCAGATGGCATTGTGGCAGGCGGAACAATCTACGGGAAGGGGGGGGGAATTCTGGGCCTGGAAGAGAGCAGGAAATAGCCAGCAAGGAGAGATGCCAAATCCGGCTACAGAAATTCCTGGAGAGGTCAGGGTGGAGTAGCGTCGCCAGGTCCCCCCTGCTTGCTGTTGGGGGGAGAGGGTTGCCAGCTCCAGATTGGGGAACTCCTGGAGATTTGGGGGCAGAACTTGTGGAGGACAGGGACCTCAGTGGGCTGCAAGGCCATAGAGTCCAGTCTCAAAAGCATCCATTTTCTCCAGGGGAACTGATCTCTGTATCTAGCTGTATCTGAAGAAGTGAGGAGTGTGTTGTGGGTCAGCCAGGGCTCAGTGACAGCGAGGACTCCTCAGGAGAAGAGGAGCCCCGTGTAGGCAGCTCTGAGTCTGCAGAAGCTGGCAAGCAGGAAAGATGAGCTGCAGGCTTGTCAGGATTCACAGCCAGCAGCTGGTGCAGAGCCACCACACCCTCCAGCACTGATTCAACAAGTGAAACTTAGTTGGTCATTTCCAGCCCTTCAGTATCACCTACACCCTTAGAGCATCACAGACGGAGGCTAAGAACAGAACTACAGGAGAGACGACAAAGTGCACACCTCCCGGCCCAACACTAGCTGCTTACTGATAGCTGACGAGTAGTTGCAGGATTACTCCCACGCAGCTGGCTGCAAGCATGGCCCTTAGGCATGGGGCCATAAAAACCAGTCAAGAGAGGCTGGTAGGCGTGGATGCAATGCATACAATAGATGCTCAGCCACTAACTCTTCCTTGCCTGATTTTTTGGAACCCTGACATTTGGTCTGAACTAGACTGCCTTGCCTGACTTCTGGCACCTGATACTCTGAGCCTGCCAGTCAATAGACAGTGACTCACAAAAGGTTCTCCCCTGCCACAAAATTTGTTAGTCTTTAAGGTGCTTCTGGACTCTGGCTCTTTTCTACTGCTACAGACAGACTACCTGGCTGGATGACCTTAGGCAAGCCGTAGTTCTGATAAGAGCTGTCCTTGGAAAAAGTGCAGTTTCTGTCAAGAGCTCTCTCAGCCCCACCTACCAGCGGTGGCACAGTGGGTGCCACAGTGGGTATATCCCACTGTCTTAACATATGAACTGTGTTAGTTCGAGCCCCACGCTGGTGTGAGCAGCCAGCCTGTTGTCCCCAGCTCATAGTCCACCCAGTGATTTGAAAGCTTCGGTGAGTAGATAAAATGGGAACCACTCCTTAGAGAGGGTGGGCACACCAATCTCCCTTGTGGGAGGGTGTTAGCTGATGGTCGGACGTCCTGGTCGAGGTTCGGAAAAAGGCGAAAGAACTTCTCGGCTATGAAGAATCCCTGCAGTGGATGTTTCCGGCCAGGCGGTGGCAGTGTGGCGATTGACATATGGGTCCTGAAGCCTGGTCGACAAGCAGCCATGCGGAAAATGACGGAGCCAAGCCAGAAGACGTCTACACCAGGCAGTGACGGCGTGTGCACCGCAGGGGCAGTGGCGCAGGCAGTAAAACGCCTGCTTTTTTTTTTTTTTTTTTTAAACACAACACTCGAGCAGCCACTATGGCTGTTCGAGACCCACCGCGGTCGAGGTGAGCTCTCGACCCTAGCCCTAGCTCCCGCCCACCCAGCGGTTTGAAAGCTGATGTAATTAAAAAATGCAAGTAGATAAATGGGTACACATCCATAGAAGAGTGGGGGGCACCCTCCTCCATGAGGTGTGTGGATGGCAACAGCGGCGGCGGAAATGGTGGGACACCAGCGCCCGAGGCGACATGGCGGTGGCAGCAAGCAGCAGCAGCGACAGACCGGAAGAGTGATCCCTGGTGGCCAGCGGCGGGAAACAACGAGCGGCTGCCGTGCAGCAAGAGGCGCAGTGACGTCATCCTCAAAGTGCGGCTGAACCTGAGGGACGTAAGCCGCGCCGAAGGAGGGCGTCAACTCCGTGCCGGATCGTGCGCCAGGAGAAACAACAGCCCGTGAACCTCCGGGAACGAAGCCAGAAGCCGAAGAACATCAGCTTCCACCATGGTGCCGGTAGGCTGCCCCATCCCCCTTCCAGAATGTGGCCGTAGTTAAGGATAAAATCGTGATTAGCACTCCTCAAATGTGAACCGCCCAGAGACCCCCACGGGGGTTAGGGCGGTATACCAAGTCGAATAATAAATATAAATAAATAAGGTCTCCCTTATCCTCCCCACCCCACTTTCCTGTATCGAGAGGCAAATGGAAAGTATTATTATTATTATTATTATTATTATTATTATTATTATTATTATTATTATTATTATTATTATTATTAATTTACCTCACAGGGTGTCTGTCTGTTGTGGGGAGGAGAAGGGAAAGGAGTTTGTCAGCCGCTCTGAGACACCTTTGGGTAGTGAAGGGCAGGGTATAAATCCAATCTCCTCCTCCTCCTCGGAGCTCGCTTCTCCAAGACCTGGCAAATATTGCCCTCCACGAATCACTTTCCCCACTACTGCCTTTTATTTTCCTCCTAGTTAAGTGTGTGTTCCCCCTCCCCCTGGTGTGCTTTGTGCGTATTTCCCCCCCCCCTTCTGTTATAATAAAACACTTTTCCGGTCGTACTGCAACCTGATTTATTTTGAGAGTTCTCTAAGAGAGCCATCCCCATAAACATTGGTGGAGATCCCCTAGTTACCCCCCTCACTTGTCTCCAGTTACGCGAATTCCCCCAATTGATCTGGAAAGTTCCAATGTGGGTAACATCTGGCAACCCTAACCTCCTACTCCCCACCCGTGACATGAAGTCTCACTATCTTCAGATTGTTCGCGCAGACGCACACTGCAGATTTATCATTTAAGCAACCCGTTGCTGTATCTTTTCAATACAGCCACTTCGAGGCATGTATCCATCCATCCATCCATCTTCATCTTCATCTGAAGAAGTGAACAGTGGCTCAGGAAAGCTCATACTCCGCCCTCTCCAAGCTCCGTCCCCAGGCATTTCCCGAATCCCAACCCAGACCCGGCAAAAATGTCTTCGGCAGCTCTCTTGGTGTCCGTCAGAAGTGACATCTCCTTACCTCAACATGGAAAAAAGCTTGATCCGGAGGAGGTGGAGGAGGAAAAGCGCTAGGAGGCGGCGGGAGGCTCCCGGGGTCTTCTGATGGAGGCGGTGGAGGTGGAGGGAAATCACCTGCAGGCATTAAAAGGGAGAAAGGGAGGTTAATCTCCAGGGCCATCTAGTCCAACCCCCTGCACAATGCAGGGAATTCGCAACTCCCTCCCTCTCCACATCCCCAGTGGTTGCTGTTCCACGCCCAGAAGATGACAAAAAGCCTCCAAAATCCTGGGCCAAACCAGCCTCGAGGAAAACTGCTTCCTGACCCCAAATTGGTGAACGGCATTCCCCTGGGCGTGTAAGAAAGGCCCACGAGAACAAAGCGCTGAGGCAACCCTTCCTGCCCTCCCTCTCGTGACCTGCCTACGTTCACACAATCCGCATTGCCGTCAGATGGCCGTCTAGCCTCTGTCGGAAAACCTCCAAAGAAGGAGAGCCCACCACCTCCCGAGGAAGCCTGTTCCACTGAGGAGCCACTCTGTCAGGAAGATCTTCCTAACGTTTAGCCGAAAACTCTTCTGATTTAATGTCAAACCATTAGATCTGCTCCAGCCTTCTGGGGCAACAGGAAACCACTCCTTTCTCTATGTGACAGCCCTTCAAACACTCAAAGAGGGTGTCTGTTGTGGGGAGGGGAAGGGAAAGGAGTTTGTAAGCCGCTCTGAGACACCTTCGGGTAGTGAAGGGCCATGGGGTATAAATCAATGCTCCCTCTAAGCCGTTGAGTCTTGTGAGCAAAAATTCTACTTGGTGAGCTCCTGGCATCAAAGCTGTGAGCGAGCGATTTGGCGACGGCATAAATTGGTTTGCTCTGGAGCCACCCTTCCTGAGCGAAGACAAAAATCTGTGAGCCAGAGGCTAAAAAACTGTGAGCTAGTGCGTACGAACTCAGCTTAGAGGGAACACTGGTATAAATCCAATCTCTTATCTTCTTCTTCTTCTTCTTCTAAAAGTCCTGTAGTGCTTTCGAGGTCAATAAGATTTTCAGGGTATCAACTTTGGAAAGTGAAACCTAGGTATGCATCCCAGAGCACCTCAACGACCAGCAGTATTTTCAGGGGACGAGCTTGGGTGATGCAAAGGTCAGGAAACTATGACTCTCCCCCCAAAATATTGTTGGTCTCCGAGGGGCTACTGGACTCCTTTCTATCCATGGAAAACCAAATCACTGATTACTTTTTTTCACTTGGAGAATCCTCTCCAAAGCCTTTTCAGCAACAAGGGGCGGAAACGTCGACGTCGGAGCCATTGGCGGGTGGGCGGAATCTCATTAAAAGGGCCCGTTTGCCTAATTTTGTTTGGGGCTAATTATCCCCAAGACTCGCCGTGGGACACACCGGGAACGGCAATTAGTCATCCGGGTGATTCCAGGCCCGGTGAGAGATGCATAATCAGTCAGACCGAGGGAGGCTGAATGACGTTATCCCAGCGGGATGGTGGCCGTATTAGCCCCCCGCGGCGCCGGGCGGTGAAGGATGGCTCTCGCCGTAAAAATATTCTGCTCACAGAACGTCATATTTCTCAGCGATCAGGCTCCGCATCCCCACAGCAGTCGGGCACCCTCCCTCCCGAACGATCGACGGGACAGCCTTTACGAAAGGGAATACGTGCAAATAGTGGTTCTGGTGGACCCAGACCGCCTGAGACATGACACCCCGCCTACCCGGGCTGCCCCGTGGACCTGTCAATCCTTGTAGAATCATTAGCTGTTGTAGATTTTCCGGGCTGTCTGGCCGTGGTCTTGGCATTGTAGGACCTGACGTTTCGCCAGCAGCTGTGACTGGCATTCACAGAGGTATGACACAGAAAGATGGAGTACTCTCTGGGTCAAGGTGAGAAGCAAAATGGTGGGCAGGTGGGGTAGGGCTACTCTTGTAGGTGGTCCCCAGGCTGTGAAAACATGCTAATGGGGGAGCTTTCCTGAGGAGGCTCTTTTGCATATGGATTGTTGTCCTGAGGAGAATCGTTGTAGAATCGTTGGTGCTGCACCCTCTCCTTAGCTGTGGCAGTTGGGATACATGGACCGGGAGGGTTTTCGTTAGGGGAGTGCCAACCTCCCGGTAAGGCCTGGAGACCTCCCGGAATTGCAGCTGACCTCCGGGCAACAGAAAAAGGCTGCTTTGGAGGACGAATTCCACGGCATTGTACCCTTCTAAGGTCTCTCCCCTCCCCACACCCTATCTACCCAGTAGGGCCAGGGGATCCCCTGATTTCAGGGCCCCGATCTGCTGCCGGCTAGTTGGCTGGCAGAGGAAGCCCCACCCACCCCACCTCCCATTTCCTTGGTAACCATAGAGTTCCCCCTGAATGCTAACTCTGGGAGTTGAAATCCAACAACAACATCTGTCACAAAAAAAGAGTCAATAATGTTGCAAAATCGTTTACTGTAGTCATTCTGTAGAGAATTCTCTCCTATTTTTGCTCACACGCGAACGAATGCTGCGCAATGTAAACGATTCGTTTAACAACGTTTGCTTTATCTGAGCGCGTTGCGATCCCAATTCGTATCAATTTCTACTGATCAACTCTTGAAGGAAACATTCCATGTTGACTCTCTAATGACAGAACCCAAGTTGGCAACCCACATGAATGATCCCTACACAAAGTATTTTGTAGGGCAGAGTAGGGAGTGGAGGTCATAAGAACATAAGAGACGCCAATGTTGGATCAGGCCAAAGACCCATCCAGTCCAACACTCTGTATCACACAGTGGCCAGAAATACCAGTGCCATCAGGAGGTCCACCAGTGGGGCCAGGACATTAGAAGCCCTCCCACTGTTGACCCCCCCAAGCACCAAGATGACAGAGCATGGGGTCACCATGCTCTGGTGGTTTTACTCTTAGCAGCTGACCGGTCTGGGTGTCTGCTCATCAGCCCCATGGCATTTCGGCTACGTAGTCCCGCAGGGACCAAGAAATTATAATTTCATGTATTGGAGTCACAGCAGTCCCGTTGTCTATGGCTGATTTGGGTAGCTAGGTTCATGTGCAGACACCGAGTTGCTTAGTACGCAACCTCAACTCCAAAATCTCAAACTGAATTTTTAAAATCCATGTCCCCTTGATGCCAAAACACAGCGGTATCATGCAAACAGACACACCCAGATTCATTTGGACACACCTGAACAGCTCAAACAACAAAATTCCTGCCTGTAACTTATGAGCCGAGCACCGAAGAATATATGCTTTTGAACTATGGTGCTGGAGAAGACTCTTGAGAGTCCCTTGGACTGCAAGAAGATCCAATCAGTCAATCCTAAAAGAAATCAAGGTGTTGCCTTCTGACATCCTTCCGGTGATGTCAGGGGGTGTGACATATGAAAATAAGCTATGGTAATGAGTTGTGCTAATGAGCTCCTGCACCTCTTTTTCTACGAAATGACCCCTGATTTAAGGTATGAGCTTTCGTGTGCAAGGCACACTTTATCAAATACGTTAGAATGGCATTGTTGTTCAGTCGCACAGTGGAGTTCGACTCTTCCTGGCGCCATGGACCACATCACGCCTGGCCCTCCTCTTCTGTCGTGCTCCAGAGTTTGCTTATTTCATGTTTGTTGCATCGATAACAGTCTCTAATCATCTCATCCTTTGCCTTCCCCTTCTTCTTTTGCCTTCAATCTTTCCTGGCATCAGGGTCTTCTTCTCCAGTGATTGATCCCTTCTCATTGGTCTTTGAGCTTCAGCTTCAGTCTCTGGCCTTCCAGGGAACAGTCAGGGTTGGTCTCTTTTAGGATTGACTGATTTAGAATCATAGAATGTTAGAGTTGGAAGGAGCCTTGCAGGTCATCTAGTCCAACCTCCCGCACTCTGCAGGAGCATAGCCAAAAGATAGCCCTACAACATATAACAAGTTTCCGCTTGAAAATGTCCACCACCTCCGGAGGCAGACTGTTCCACGGCTCAACCACTCTGACAGTTAGGACATTTCTCCTGATATTGAGACGGTATCGATTCCCTTTTGATTTCCACCCATTCGATCTAGTCTTGCGATCCGGAGCAAGAGAGAATAGATTTGCTCCGTCTTCTACATGACAGCCCTTCAGATACCTGAAGACTGCAATCATGTTCCCTCTAAGCCTTCTCTTTCCCAGGCTAAACAGACCCAACTCTTTCAGCCTTTCCTCGTAAGACTTGGATTCCAACCCTCTGACCATCCTGGTTGCCCTCTTCCGGACACGCTCGAGCTTGTCAGCATCCTTCCTAAAATGTGGTGCCCAAAACTGGACACAGGACTCCAGGTGAGGCCTGACCATAGCAGAATAGAGCGGAACTACCATCTCCCGTAATCTGGACACAATGGTTCTGTTAATGCATCCTAAGATTTGATCTCCTTGCAGTCCAAGGGACTCTAAAGAGTCTTCTCCGGCACCATAATTCAAAAGAATCTATTCTTCGTCTCTCGGCCTTTCTTATGTCCATGTCTCGCAGCCAGAGAATGGCAGTCAAGGTTGAGACTTATAGCCAGAGAATGAACAGCGGAGGTAACATGCAACACGGTGATGATCAACATGTGCAAAGTGTCACCTTTAGACATTTTTTTGCTAGTCTGACATATTTATTGCTTTACAACTGTTGACCCCATAACCTTCACTCGTTATGTAGAGTCACTTTGCATGTCTTGATCATCACCATGTTGCATGTTAATTTGCTGCTCATTCTCTGGCTATAAGTTTGAACGTACTTGAAAAAGTGTGCCTGCACATGAAAGCTCATGCCTTGAATAAACCTTTGTTGGTCTTCGAGGGCTCTAAACCTGTTGTCCGTGTGGTAAGCTATTGATCTGCATTTCAGTGTTCCCACTCCACAGCCCTTAAACCTCCACGCCCGTCCCCCACTAGAGCAGATGAAAACCACTTTCTCTGGAGTGCGCGCTCTTCTCTCCCACATCGCAAGCCAACCTCGTTCCTCCTCTTGAAGATCACAGAACCTTTTAGACAAGCTGTTTCCCCCCTACTTCGCACAATGAGTGCCACACTTCAAACTCGCACGTAAGGTACCTGACAATTCTCTCCAACCTTCCCAAACCGTGATCCAAATTCCATCCGCCACCCCCCCCACCATTATTTTGCGGGCTC